TCTTTGTCGTTACTGTTCTTAAAATTTCAGAAATGCTATGTAATATCTAATCTCGTATATGGCATTGAATCTTTACAAATGAAGAAATTTTCTGAGATTCGTAATGAGGAAAGAGGGTTTGGAGAATTTGATACTCACAAGACGAACCGAAGTCAAGAGGAACAAAAACGAAACGGCAAATTACGAGTTTATGTAAATGTATAGCAAAACAGGGACTGGGAGGGGTAAACGTTGGGTAAGAGGATAAACGTTGCTTAGAACTAGGAAGTACAGGAAGCTGTGGAGAGGCATGATCACCCATATCCTGAAGAGACACGTTATATAAAAGAAGAAGAATGCTCCATACTTTACTTTTACCAAGGATTTGTGAATTTGATCCATTTAAATTGTCTGCAATTGTAATTGAGGCACCAATATTTGGTCTTCGGCAAAAGTTCAAACTTATTTGCTTATTACAAAATCTGTGTTCAATTCGGGCAGGAAATGCGGAATTATTTCCGTTACTGAGTGAAGGATATGCCACAAGTGTTAGGGCACCCAGTGTGGATCGAACTCACTAGACTAACGAATTGGTCTGCGAGTCAAGTTTGTTAGCTATTGCGCTACCATAAACGCTCACTGCAGGTGTGAAACGAAGATCAACTGAGAGACTGGCTTACGATTGCGAAGCAAGAAGTCATTTTTTAAAAATCTCGCAGTTAATTTTATTTCTAAATTAATTCTTTATTGCCACGTTAATCGTTCAAAGGAAATAATTTGCTGCTTTGCCAGTCATCTGATAATTGACTTTCGACTTTATTAAATTCTAACTTATTATGCCATAAGATAGTCACTAGATTTTACTTAGTTTAATAATAGATGATAAAAGGAAGTCAGAAAATTTTATTGCGACAACCTATCAAGTGTGAATCGGTGCGTTCATGTCGCTATCAAGGTTTTTTTTGACCGGTAATATCGTAGAAAAATTGCTCAAGTAACTTCGGGACTTCCCTTTTTGGTGACTGGTAATGATCACAGTCCCCTGCCGACGGAGATGTACTGTCTAGGGAGGATGAACCCCTAGGGCTTGAGTTAATATTATTTTCAACTCCCCCAACAGGAACAAACTTCTGTGCCAAGTAAGTATACCAAGTAGGAAAGATATACTTGTCTTGAAGATCAGAACTATTATCTGGGCTCGAACATCGGCTACTGGAATCGGCAGTGAGAAATAGTCAGTCAGTCAGCATGATACACGCTTAGGCGATCATGTATCTTTCGATACCTGAGGCAGATTTTTTTCACGCAGGAGGTTGCCATTTCTTTCTGCGGTAGACCAGTTGCTATCCAAGGCTATAGAACCTAGTCTCTCCTGCTGGGTGGAGAAGACGAGGACACGTAAGTAAATGGAATTCGAACTCGGCTCTCCGATTCCTCAATCCGAGCGACTATCCATTACTCCACCGTGCCTCCTAATTCGCTAATTATTGATATTTACTATTCTATTATTGTATGAATTAGATTTTTTTTTTTTTTTTTTTTGAGTAATTTTCAGTAAATGATGGAACCGCATATATTTTTGCTGTCTTTATTAATGAGCTCGCGTTCCGGTGAGGAAGTCCCCCAAGGCATTACCCGTCCTTTTGGAGGAAGCCGAGGTCACTACCCGACACCGAAGATACTTGCACAGTTTTATTACCCCTGGTCCACGTACGCGCGGGTCTCGACTGTATATTCGACTGTGTCAAATTTTGGACGAGGTAGACGTAGAAATAAATACAAAAACCGCATTTATTTGACTCTTTTTAAATGTTCAACTCCAGTGAATGTCCCCTCCCAGACAGCACCTCACCAAATGCACTAGATTGGAGAAGTTCAGGGTCAAATCCTTGATACCTGAGGCGTGCCACTGGGGAAGTGTCGAGGGAGGTGAGCGAATTTTTTTCTCCAATCCCACGTACGCGTGGGATTCTCACTTTAAATTCGGCCAAGTGTCATTTCCCGTTCGAGTGAACGTGTTTTTTAGTTTACCCCAACCCACAGAGGTAAGGTATGACACGTGGTCGATTTAACGTGGGGTGCCTATATTCATACATGTGGGTCAAGGTTGTCCAGTCCTTCTCCATCACTGTCACATAGGCGTTGGCATCTACCAATTCTCTTTCCCCAATGAAACGAAGGAGGCGCCTTCGCCGCAGAGTTTCAGTGAGCGTCCTTTTTATGACAGGTTTATATAATTGCACACATACAGATTGGTAACTATATATATATATATATATATATATATATATATATATATATATATATATATATATATACACACACACATTGTGTATATATATATATATATATATATATATATATATATATATATATATATATATATATACACACACACATTGTATACATATATATATATATTAAGAAATGGACAAGGTCCGACAATTTATTTATTAAAGACATTTTTTTTAATATGCTCTTAATATATGACGTCATTTGTTTTTACATTCGATACGCCAGAGCAGTTATGAATGCATGAGATTCATGGAAATTGGAGTTTATAAGCAGTAAATTCGACCTTGTCTACCGAACGCTTCTTTGTAGCCTAGCGGTAAGGCACGTCAGCGTATATGACGGTTCCGTATAGGATGCAGGTTCGAATCCTGTCAAAGAACGAATATTTTCTATGAAAATTTCTCGGACATTCAGGCCGGTAAATGTTATTTTAATACTGTTTATCATAAACAGAGCATTTGCTTAAATACTTGTATCTATAAAATAACAACGTTAAACATAAAAAAAAAAAAATGTCTTTAATAAATATATATATATATATATATATATATACACACACACATATATGTGTATATATATATATATATATATATATATATATATATATAATAATGTGTGTATTGGGATCAAATATGGATCGGAATCCGACAGAATGATAGGAAACGAATAGTAACGTTTATCTTATTATTCTCTGATGAAGCTTTAATAAAAGTGAAACATGTTAGATTAATAAACGTTTCCTATTTGTGCATCTTATCACACACACACACACACACATATATATATATATATATATGTGTGTGTATTTAGGCAGCAATCCTTCATTTATGCATGTTTCAATAAAAACGACAGGCAAGCTACTATGATGAAGCTTTTTATTTAATTTTTCTTGTGTTCGAACAAGTGTTTTCTTTTTTTTGGACACATAGTGTGTAGAAACTGTCCAACTGTTCTATAATTCCGAGCGCTTTCGGCTCTACTTTCAGCCATTATCAAGGATGATTTTATTTATTCAGTTTGAGTGTGTGCATTGTGTGTCTGTTTTTAGCGTTATATAAATGTTTTATTTTCCAAACACATTGTGTTCGTAGTTAATATTATTAAGGAGCATTTTTAATGAAACATCCATAATATATATATATATATATATATAATTCACCCCATGCAAAGCAGTAAAACTACTAAGACATAAGGGATTGCTGGGTTTGAAAGAATTAGAAAACAGAAACATTATTAAGGAGCGAGAACAATAGAAGAGTAATCAGGAAGACAGTAGTTAACGATTGACACTGCATTTAAATTTTTGAAAATCAAAGTTGTCTGGAAATCATGTAGTCGAAAGAGTCTTTCACAAGCGAGAAGTGCAAGAAATGAAACTGTTAGCATAGAACTTACGGTTACATCAAGCCAATTCAAGTGTAAATGGATGAGATGTTTTTTGCCAATCTAGTATTGCGCTTAAATTCATGAAGTCTGGATACAAAAATGAAGAGCTTATCCGAAAATTTGACACTCACCTGACATATGAAGAGGGAGAGAAGAAAGCAGCATATAACCTACCAAACGAGCTTGAATAAATGGTTGGCAGAACAGGGATTCTTAGAAGAGACAGCAAAAACACAAACTTTATTAAGAACTACAAAGGACAGAAAATTATGGAGAGCCATGGTCGCTTATGTCCTGAACGGAAACGGCAAATAGAAGAAGAGTTATATAAACCTTTAAGGAAGCTAAATACAGCAAATATTTTACGGCATCCGGAATATAAATAAGCTCTACAAATATCTCAAAAACCTGATGTTCTTAGACAATTCTGAGCACGGAACCGGAATCTGCATGTTAGATTTAGTCGAGTACGGCCCCATTTTTTCTGGGTAGCGTCTTTTTTTTCTTTTTTCTTTTTTTTTGCTTAGAGTAATTCTGAATATTTCTCGGTCCAATCCTCTTCCCAAAATTTGATAAAATGACTAAATATCTGAATTTATTTTGGAATCACTTCTTTGTTGATTCAAGAACTTTTCAGTACCCCCTAGTAAGACAAGGTATCCTCAATCACATGCATGCAAGACCCCGACATGCTGCGACAATGCTAAGGATGGAACCAACGTACTCGAGTTTAAAAGACACGCTTTTCATCTTTTTTTTTTTGTCTATGTTACCCAGTGTTATTTATTTGCCTATTCTTGTGATTACAGGCATCTTAGTATGAAATTCGAGGGAGTAGCTATATAAATGGGTCTTAAGTCTCGAAAATGAAGAATTAAATGAAGATTTTTAAAAATAAACAAATTAAATTTCAAAGCCCCGACAAGTAATGCATATCTGTGAACCGTGTAGATTCCCATTAGAGGATAGGACTACACCCTCCCCACGCTAAGTGTAACATCTGTGATTTCCGTAGCAAGTAGGTCTTTTACGACCTACCGGTTTTAAATTCAGTCGTCCTTTTCTTACATGTTTTGCCAACCAAGTCTTGCGGGCTGAAGTCCTCTATGGACTCTTAACTGGAAGAAATAGAGGTCGATTTATGCGTGAAAATGAACGAAATAGCGTCGGCTGAAATTTGAACACGATACCCCAATCTCACTTTCCGTGTCACTAACCACTACTCCATGACAATTAAGCCTCGGCTGCATTATAAGTTTTACCACCAGGACGCCTTACCGTAACGTAATGGATAACTAGCTGTTTTTGTAGTCCATTATTCTTACAGTGAATTTGAAGCTTACCAGGTGGTTCACGCTTGAAGCTCTCGTTCGATCACCGAAGTTAATCAGTGTCGAGCCCGGTCAGTACTTAGATGAGGGACCGCTTGGGAACACCGGTTAGGTTTCGGCTTTAAATAATCCACAAAAGACTGATTCACCGTAAAAATTCAATCTGATCGATTGGATTTTTACGGCTTAGAGCATTATCATCAAACTACACTTGGTAAAAAAAACAACAAAAAAAAACGGCGCTTTGTCATTTGTTGGGTTGAGAAAGCCTGAACGGGGGTCATAGGCTGTGCATTTTGAGCCTCGCTATCTTATCAACATTTGCTTTTATCTACCTACATTTACATTTGTTACAAATTAAACTAAGCACAGCTGACTATTAAAGGATGAAAAATTTTCGCGGACGTTGACGTGATTCTGGGTTCTTTTTTTATCCAAATCTCTGAATTTGTTTTCCTCATGTTAAGGCTCGAAAAAAAAAAACACTGTAAAATTCACTATATTTTATCCATCATTATTGAATATGTTAAAAATTATTCAATTTTTTAACAAGAAAATCTCAAGTTGATGTTAAAAATTGCTGCAAAACATTGTTGATTAATTTAAGATGTAATAATCTATTATGACATGTCTCTAATTTGTATTTAGATACATTGTATTTATTTTCAATTTTTCTAGTTGAATTGTTTACCTATATTGCATATGATTCATTATTGTACATAATTAGGTTACAATAAAATTTGTATTTTATATGAATACTATCTTATGAATAGTACCTTATGACAATTGAGATATTATAAAGTGGAGGGCGCAGTATCATAGATTCGATGGAAGTCCATGACACTCTTGCACCGGTCCTGCATCCGACTATCTACGATTTCTATTACTAATAGCAAAGTAGGTACTTAATGCTTCCGCAAACGTCAGACAAGTTTATATGGCTAACAAAAGTGGCTACTTGTGAAAGGATGGGTGACCTATCGAAAAAAAAATATATACTCGTAAGGGCGGGGAGGTATATGGAATTAACATGTTATTCTGGTCAAATGATAGTTCCATAAAAACTTTGGAACCACGAATGACGGAAAAAAAAATCAATGATTTTCCTAACCATAACACCATGATTGAGATGATACATTCATTAAAATATTTTGACACTGGGACACAAGATTGAGACATCTAGTGAAGTTCGAAACCGCTTCAGAGATAATAGTCTACTAGACTATCTTGCTAGTCACTAGCGCGCACACATACATACATACACACACACACATATATATATATATATACACACACACACACACACACACAGAGGTAGTAATCCGTTGATATAAGCCAGGCGAGTCCTATTAAGAACATCGAATTTGAAATATGTTAAAAATGACACACAAAAGTTTATTTTCATTAAACAAAGTAAATTTTCTTTACAACTGGAATTAAGATATCTTTAGTTAATGACCATTTTCACCCGCAATTTAATTTTAAAAAATTCGCAGGATTTTTCAAACTAATACCATAAACATTTGAAAAATCCTGCAATTTTAAAATTAAATTGTTTCAACAAAAAATGGTCATTAACTAAAAATATGATTTTAATTTAATTGTAAAATATATATATATATATATATATATATATATATATATATATATATATATATAGTGGAGAGTGGAAAATTCTCAGTCCGAGATATATATCTCGGACTGAAAAAACAAGTTCAAATGCCCGTTAAGGAGGAACTGTGTTCCTGATCAAACCAAACTCATAAATAATTACATCGGTCACGCTACTACATGCGTATCCAGATGACTTACGTCACACCTATCCAACGATAACTCCATTAGAACTCATTTAAACACACACAAAAACCTACCAGATTTCACCCGAAACATAATAGTAGACAATACAAGTATAATAACCTTATCCATATGTCAAAAAAAAAAAAAAAAAGTTTAAAAATAATGGTAGCCCTAATAATAAAAAAGAAAAAGCCAAAACTCAATAACATTAACTATGAACACGTCCACAATGTGCTGACCGTGTTTGGGGAAATAAAACATCCCTATAACTCTAAATATACAGAAAAAATACAATTCATACATTCAAAAGTAAAAATAAAATCATCCTTGATAATGACTAAAAGTATAGCCGAAAGCACTCGGAAATGCAGAACTTTTCGACAGTTTTTACATACTTTGTGTCCAGAAAGGAAAACACCTGTACAAACACAAGAAAAATTAAATAAAAAGCTTAATCGCAGTACCTTGTCAGTCGTCTTTAACGATATATATATATACACACACACACACACACACATATATATATATATATATATATATATATATATATATAAGGAATTCATGGATTTAATTTTTAATCCGACATTATTTCTTATTACTTCAAACGGTGGAGTATTGGATAGCCAAGGGCCGAGTTCGAATTCAGTCGAATCCATTATATTCATTTACGTGCTAATACCCTTGGGAAAGGTATAAATCTTCTTCTTCTCCT